CAGGCATGTTTCTAATAAAAGGATTTTTTCAGAGAACAGTTAAACACCTTGCAATTCCATCAAACTTTTCCACCCGATGTGCCTTTCCTTCTCTTTGGAGAATTTTCTTTATTCAGTGTATAGAGACAGGGTACAAGGCTTTGGTCCCACAGTGAGCCCTGTCTGACTAAATTGTAAGTTATGCTTCTGATGTGGCTGAGTAAAGGTTGTAATCAGCATGGTGCCCTAAACCCCAAGAGGTGAAATTAGAGCAGCGTATAGATTTTAAATAAATAAAGCCCAGCTGAAAGATGAACTAGCCCGTAAACAGCCTTGCTTTTCTTACTTCAAAGCATGTCCCATCATCATAATTCTCACAGACTAATGAAGCTCTTACTTGGGGCAGAAAGAACAAAACCTGTTCTCAATGTTTAGGGCTTTTATAAGGGCTGCTTCCAGACTTCTAAGAATGTTTTGAAGTTTTGTGGGTTTTTTTCTTCTTGCAGGAACAGATGTCGTCATTGTTAAAAATGGCAGAAGAATATGTGGCACAGGAGGCTGCTTAGCCAATGCACCTTTGCATCAGAACAAGAGCTATTTTGAGTTTAAAATCCAATCCACAGGTTAGTCAGCAAAAATGTACAACTTTAAACTTGGAAGGTATGTCAGATTGCCTGCTGGTGGTCATATCTCAAATACCGAGCACATGCATCTTTCTAATTGCATCCTTGAACTTGTGAGCATTGGAGAGTTTTATAAGTTGTCATTGTGTAAAAGGAAATGACTTTTCCTTTTTTTTTTTTTTTTTTTAAATTGTGGTGCTGAGATATTAGAAAGAATGGTAAGTATATTACTAAAGGAGTGCAAATACTAAAACACAGTATTATTTTGTATGCTGTTACACGCATGTTTTTCAGTTAGCCTATTTTAGAAATGTTTTTTGGTAAATAAATGCTTATGACCACATAAAACACAATAGCTATGAAATATCTTTTTTTAAATAGTGCAGTTTATCCAGCAATATTTGTAGCTATTTGTCTACCTTCATTTGCTTTTAACATGCACTGTGTTTGCCCAAAGAAGGGTAACACTCCTTGTGCTACACTTTGCTCGTCAAATCAAATGTGCAGCACTTATTCCGCCACTGCCTTGTCAAGAGGAGCCTTTCAGCACCCTGTTTATTTGTTTTGCACAGATCTAATGCAAGGCAGCTGAAGGTGAATGAAATTTGGAAGCATTATGCTTTTACTAATACGGTCAGCTTCACTAGTACAGAGCGCACTCCAGGATTGCCTGTATTCTAATACTAAAAATCAGCTTGTATTTTTAAAAACAACAGACACTGTGAAAATGAAGCTGTTCTTTCCCAGAGGGAAGAAGGGAAGTGTTAGTCCAGAGACAGGCCTACAATACCAGCTGGAGCTTGAACCCGGCGTTTTTTGGGTAAGGGTTGTTTGCATTCAGTTGGATTGCAGTGCAGGCAGTGTGAATACAAATCTGTCCAAAACACCTTGCAGTCAAACCAGTTGTTTAGTTTTAAACTACATGTAAACCTCAGATCAGTCTTAACTTGGCAATTTTAGTATCCTTTCTGTTGGGGGAAGAATCCACTGCAGCTGTTGTTCATGTATGGTCATTATTCACACAGATACAGTATCCACACAGGGAATAAACTCTCCTGGTCCATATGAGCCGTGTCTCGTCTATTCCTGTGCCCCAAGGCCGGAGAATTGTAGATTGCTTAACTTAAATCTTTGATTCCCAGAAGTGTCCCTGCGCAATCTATTAGGCGTCATTTATGGGGTCGCTCTGACTATTGGAAAGTTTTCTGAAGTCTAATCTGAATCTTGTTCACGCTCTTGTCCTTTTCATTCTGGGAATGAAAGTATTAGAATAAATTGTTCTGCAATTTTGTCTTTTGAAACTAATTTTCTTGTATTTTTGCCTCATTTTAGTCTTCTGTAGATTAAACAGTCCCAGTTTTGTTTTTTCATTGTCTCCTTGTAGGTGATGTTTTTACCCTTTTGATTGGTTTTGTTGTTTCTTCTAGAATATCTCTAATTGACCTAATTTGTCTTGAGATATGATGCTTAAAATGGATGCTTTGCTCCAGCTGCAGCAGCAGTAGACATCCTTCACCTGCTGTACATGCAATATGTCTGCTTTACACATGCCATACATCCAGAAGTTTTTCACAACAGTAGGGCACAGACTCACGCTCAGCATGTGGTCTGTGATAACCCCCAAATTATATTCTGTGAACTGGTTGCCAAGCCACTATTGTATTTGTGCCACTTACTATTCCTACTTACCTGCTGTTCCTCATAATTCAGAAAAAGCGAATGCATTTTCCTTATTTCAGACCTCTTAACCAATTTGTCAGGATCATTTAAAACTTGAGGGGCCTCAGAAGAGTTTGCAATCCTGTCAGGCAGGTAGTGGCAGCACATTTAATAAGCACATCGTCACGTTATCCAAGTCATTGATGTGAATACGGAACAGTATCTGACCTTGAGCATTCAGTGCAAAACCTCAAACCCCACTTGAGTCATCTTTTTTGATTTGACAGGGTGCCACTGATGAGTAGTCCTGGAATACAATTTTCTAACCAGTTGTGCATTCATATTGGTGTAACTGTCTAGACCGTGTTTTCATAATTTGACTATTTCAGTGTTGTATGAGTTTCAAAAACATTACCAAATCAAGATCTATGATGTTTACAATTTCTTCTTTTTCCCTAAGACTATTGTAACCAGCTGAAAAAGGAAATTGTATTGTTCACAAATCCATGCTAGTTGGATTTATTTTTTTACATCTTCCTACAGTCTCAGGGTTTGTTTTCAGCATTTTTCTGGGAATAAGAGTTAAGCTAAGTGGTTACAATTCTCTGAATCCTTTTTCAGGATAGATGCTGTTTATCTTCAGTCTCTCGTGACTGCTTGTACTGGGTCTGGCCGAGATGGAGTTAATTTTCTTCATAGCAGCTCCTATGGTGCTGTGTTTTAGATTTGTGACCAAAACAGTGCTGATAATACACTAATGCTGTAGTTATTGCTGAGCAGTGTTTGCACAGCATCAAGGCCTTCTGTTTCTCACTCTACCCCTCCAGTGAATAAGATTGGGGGTGCGCAAAAGGTTGGGAGGGGACACAACCAGGCGGATGACCCGAACTAACAAAAGAGATATTGCATGCCACGTAATGTCATGCTTAGCAACAAAAGGGAGAGGAGGGGTTTTAGGGAGGTTAGCCATCTTTTGCTTGGGAATTGGCTGGGCATTGGTCTACCCGTGGGAGGTGGTGAGTGATTGCCATTGCATCGCTTTGTTTTGTTTTTTTTCTTTCTTTCTTCCACTTCTCCTTTGCTTATTAAACAATTTTTATCTTTACCCACAAGTTTTCTTGGTTTTACTCTTCCTTTCCTCTTCCTCCATCCCACTGGGGCCTGTGGGGGGAAGTGGGTGAGTGGCTGGGTGGTGCTTAGCTGCCTGCCAGGGCTAACCCACAGTAGTCCTGGTATTCTCAAGAGATATTTACTGGTAGTACCTCCATGACCCTAGTTAAAAACACATTCTTTATGCTGTCCTGCCTCAGTCAGACAGTCTTCAAAATAATGTGGGGGTTTTTTTCTTACCGTGTTAATGTCACGTTTTAGGGATTTGGGGTATTGGAGTTGCAACCCAGAAAGCAAACTTGAATCAAATTCCACTTGGTCGAGATGTCCATAGCCTGGTGATGAGAAATGATGGAGCTCTCTACTATAACAATGAGGAGAAAAATAGACTACCAGCAAACAACCTTCCTCAGGAGGGCGATGTGGTGGTGAGTTTCTCAAGGCTTCTTTATTTCCCCAGCTGTTCCCAGATTCCTCTTACATACAGCTCTGTGGTCAGACAGACAGTTTCAGTCAAATTGTTCGGCTTGCATCCCCCAGTTTGGAAAGTGCCGATACAAACTCCCATTGTGTTTGAACGGATCAGCAGCTTGGATGTTGGTGGACTTCATTCTCAGCATTGATATGTTTCTGAATGAGGGACAGACTTTACCAGTGTTTGAAAAGTAGCCTCTAATGCTCTGTTGCAGTATCTACTTGACTGATAACTCCCATTGCAAGGATCCTACGTTGTTTGAGATGGGACCTTCCTGAACAAATAATGTGCTGGAATGCATTATATAGCTATGCACCATGCCCAGCTGAACTCAAGATCCCGTAGCTAACTGGTTAATGATTAGAAGGACAGAGCTGAGCAGAGATAGGTCCTGGGTGATAAATGAATTGTATTTTTAGCCAAACTTTTGCAGGGAAGGAGAGATATTAAGTGGGGAGGGGATAAAACTGACTGGGAAAATGATTAAGAATGAGAGCAAATGGAGAATCGTAAGATTTTTTTGTGCCTTACTATTCCAGGTTTCTTAAAACACCTTTAAGTGACTTTGTTCAAAGGGTTGTGGTTTATTGCTGTCATTTTCTCAATGTCCTGTTAGAGATTTATTTTCAAAAATACATGGGAGCAATGCAATGAAATTTAGACCATTTATCACCACTACTTTTTCTTGCTGGGTAACCTTGCCTCTATATAGCAATGATTAGAAATTTCATCTTTAGAAGCCCCAAACAGCTAAGTTTGACACCTTCTTATTATTCTTTTAATCCCCTTCTGAAATTTTTTTTTTTGGAGGGTTGCAGACTGTTCCAGGGTTTGGTCAACCTATTTAGTCTGAATAGCTTCAACTACAGCTGCAATAAAGTAGCTGATGTGTTACTGCTAATCCCCCATTTTCATAAATTTCAATTTATTTTGTTCTGTCATGAAAATAGATTTCTGAAGTACTGAATGACAACACAAATTGTCACACTCAGCCATACCAAAAAGTGAGAAAAATCATTTAGCTAACAAATAAGTAATTTATCACCTTGTTAGTGTTTACTTTCTGCTCTGTAGTCAGCATATTTATAGCGTTGAGTATGAAAGCATGGTCTGTTGCTGCTGGCAGAGTAAATTGAGTTGAGAGAGGTTTCCATATGGAAGTATGGACGAGATAAACTTAATTCATAGCATCACTATTTATTAAAGTTATTTCCATAAGGAGATATAAACAAGAAGTCTGCAAACTGCTTAATATTAAAAATCATTGAAAATTTTGTGTTTCTTTAACATGGTGAAGAATAGTTTGGAAATTTGTTTTGTAAACTTATTAAGATGCCATGTCCAGTACTGTGCTGCATCCAAATTGAATGAGCGTTAAGGAATCCTGAGTATTTGAAAATACAAATGTTACTGGTCATTTATTAACTTCTAGTCCTTTGCAGGAATATTTCAAGTGAGGTTTTCTGGGATGCTGTAGTTTGCATAATGGTGTTAAAATTTGCCTGTAGCTAAGAAAGCTAGATTAAGTAGCAATCTTATGTGTATAAACTTGTTGATGCTTTTTTGTTAATTTTCTGTACTTTGTAGGGCATTACATATGACCATGTAGAATTAAATGTATATTTAAATGGGAAGAACATGCATTGTCCAGCTTCAGGAATCCGAGGGACTGTCTATCCAGTGGTCTATGGTAAGTCAGAGATTTACAAACTGTTTCACAGTATGGACAATATTTTTGTACCACTTCTGTCTTGTGAGCTATGTATTCTTCTTCTCACTTAAATGGAACACACATCAATCATTTATTTTTGGCAACTACAACAATAAATTGCGTGAAAATACAAACCTAGGAAAATACAAAAGTATATTTTCACCTCATTTTTAATGCTGCTTAATAGGGAGGGGAAAAAAGCACCGCTTACTGACTACTTACAGTGTCCACATCCAATAAGCTGGGGAGTTACTGCACTCAGTCTAAAAATTGCTAGGTAAAAAAACTGCGAAGCAGATGAAAAAAAGAAAACAAATTCGAACTAATGTAGGCTTGCGGGCTAATCTGATTTATCTCTGAAGCTTGTTATTTATGCCTGTTAATTTCACATACTTCATGAATGCATTCAGTGTTAAATAAGAGTGGATACTGAATCGTTGTTTGTATTTTCTTATGGAAGTAATAACTTTAATGTAGTACTAGTACAGCTGCTTGCTGTGTAGCGGTACAGCTCTTTGCTGCTATACCAAATTCATGCCCAGTTTTAAAATCCAACAATTGGTGAGCGAATTGCAGTAGCTGTTTTGCCAGCAACCATCAATACAACACAGTAGTTTTGAACAAGAAACAAATACCAATTAATCCCTCCATAGGCAGTTTAAGAAAGAATTTATGAATTATGGAAGCTGGAATTTGGCCAAGACATGTGTTAACAATTTACTCTTCCAGAACTTGGCGGTGGTTTTGTAGTTCCCAACTAGTCAGAATTCTGTTTAACATCTCATCTGAAAGGCAGCACTTCCCCTAGCTCAGTGCATAATCAACGCTACACTCTGGGTTGGTTTGTAACTTACAGCAAATGAGAACTGCTCATCGGATTCCCTGTATTACACCTACAGCCATCTCCAGTTTATCTTTATTCCTGTGTGAGCTTCATCTAAGTAGTAGCCTCTTCCAAAATCATTTTGCTCTTGAGATACCATTAGCTATGTGATGTGGATAATTTTTTCATTTCATGGTTGGTTCCTAATTAACTGTTGTCATGTTCCCATTTATATCTTGATACATTTGTAATATTGAATTTTATGAACAGGAAGAAAATACTCTAGATGTGTTGTAGAGCCTTTGATGGCTATAAATGTAGCTGACATTATATCTTTCCAAGCTATTAGAGTGGGAATTGTTTTATATGGTCATTTTGTGATGTGTTCTTAAGCCACATGATGGCGCTGCTAAAATGCTTTGGCGGACGGTAGCTGCCTTGCAGCACTGCGGGATCTCCTTGTGCAGAAAGCTTCGTGAGCAGCAGGAGAGGAGTTGCTGTGTGATAATTAATTGTTGCATCTTCCCTATATTTTGGAAATGGTGTTACACAGCATGAAGAATGCAGGTTGCTTTGAGAAAACATTTGGTGGCATGTTAGCTTACTGTAAATCATCTTTTTCTCTGACTAAAGAAGTTCCGTGCCTTGGCAATTTTATTGCCAGGCTCTTATTACCATCTTGCACAAGTGGGCATAATTTCATCGTAATTATCATGTCTCCTACCTATAGCTATAACAACTGAAGCCTGCAAATTGCTTTTGCATGGTACTTGCTTGGTATAAACTTAAAGTATAAATGTTCTTAATTTAATATGAACTTCCAGTCATGTGAAAGGATTTGACTATAGAGAAGAGAGTTTCTTAAGCATTTACCCTATCCATAATTCAGACTAGAATTATAGATATCTTTTTAAAAGGCAAACACGGTGTCAAGCTCAAGAATGTAAAACAGAAAAATGGACTTAAAGGTTGTTCCCTACAGTAGCTGTACCTCAGGCACTTTTGCGGAATTGAGATGCAAACAGTGCCTAAGTACTACAGAATTGTACAAATATACTAATAGGAGTTTTAACTGAGCCTAGGAGGGAAAAATTCCTACCTTGGCTCTGAGATATCTAAATTCCAAACCAAAATATGGAGATGTAGCTTTTCTGTTTTGATCTAATGTTGCCACTGTACCAGGTTCGTCTTGGAAGAATTGTCTTTGAAAGAGATCTTGCTTTTCTGACTGGCTGGGTATTTCAGTTTGCTATATGAAAGCTTTGCTCTGAAAATTCTCAGCAGTTTTTTTTTTATATTCTACATTGAAGGTGGTAACACTTGTGTCTCAGATTATGCGGGGGGTCCAAAACTGGGAGAGGTGCTGTAAAAAACCATTCACTTCCAACTTAAAGAAGCAGTCAAAGAAGCTCTCATTGGATCGCATGCTAAAACAGATGGTCTGACACCAACCATTGCAGACATCTGAAACCTTGTAAACCTCCAGAAAAATCACTGCAGGCAGCTGACGCTCCAGCAGAATTAGGAAGTGGACAGAAAAACATGCAGCTGAGGAGGTGACAGCCCTGCAATATGTATCTGGTAGTGTCCTTAATCTGTAGATTTCCAGGGAAATAGAGTAGAAAATTTGGAGGGAATTGCCTGAAGCCCTGCTAACACTCCAAGTGAAATTAGAGGTAGTGTTCTCATTGACTTCACCAAGGACCATTACAGACTAAACAGCAGAAAAGAGAGATGATTTGCTCTCCTTGGGTATGGGTGTAGGGCTTTAGCAAATCTGTTGAAGATTTCTTTTAATTGTATTGTATATACGTAATGGATATATTGGAGAATATTCTTTATGATTTGAGCATAGTATCTACTCTAGTACGATGGTGTAATAGAGGATCAAACTGTAAGTGTTCCTTCTCTAATTCCTTCTGTTTGGTTCTCTTCTGCAGTTGATGACAGTGCCATTCTGGATTGTCAGTTCAGTGAATTTTATCATACACCTCCACCAGGGTTTGAAAAAATCCTCTTTGAGCAGCAAATCTTCTGAATGTCTTCATACTGAAAATTTGCACCCTGCACTGTTACAAAAGCTTTGTCATCTTAAATAAAGCTTCACTTTACTTTTAGGAAACATATCTGTATTTTCAGTAAGTACTTGTGACTCTTGTCTGCAGAATTAATGTGTTAACTGCAACACCAGGTAACTGAGTTGCAAATAAGAGATTTCTGGCAATGTTTTGTGGTTGAAAATTAGTGTTTTGGGGCAGGGTTTTTCTCTGATTTGTTCTTGATGCATAAGGAGGCTAAGGGATGTTATTGACATCAGTATTACATTCAGTATTTTGAATAAACTGGAGCTCTGTAAAGCAAATAGTTCTTATGCATATGATAGCTATGGAGATGGATAGTTCTCATGATTTTTTTCCCAACTTTTTTCACACAGAAGTTATGTACTTTGTTTAAAGGAAGCACTGTGTTTCTAGTCTGTGATTTGGAGTTGCAGTGTCCCAGTTGTGCACAATGACTAATAATACGATGGCATAACTAGCAGCTAGATACTTTTTTTTTTTGCAAGGTGTAATTTAATCCATTCCCTCAATCTTGGACTGGCAAATACAACTTACCTGTTTCTCCTACCTTTTCGTTTGCTTTTATTGTGACAAATAATAGGACACTTTCTAGTAATACTTTTTTGTTGAACCTTAAAAAGTAAACCTGAACACTACCTGTGTTTTTGAGGACCACCATGCTGTGTTGCTCTGGTAGGAGAGTAACTACAGATCACTCAACTTGGGTATGCAAAGAGCCAGGTGAAGGGTATGAGATGTTATGGTGAAGCCTTACATCTAAACTGTAAATTAGATTATTCTTTTATGGAATAGCATTTTTAATTTATTCGTGAATCATTTATAAATGATTAATGGCTAAGACATTGTTCTAAAATGTGATGCCCTTGAATATAAATTGTGAGATGCTTTTTTCCCTTCTTGTCATATTTAATATACTTCCTAGAAGAATTTTTATTGTAAAGAAAATCTTCATACTGGATGTTTGGTTTTTGGTTTTGGCTCTTCCTGGGTTAATGCATTTGCATAAATGAATGATTTTATTTAAATATTTTTAGAAATTATCTGATTCTGAAATTTTCAAATACAAACAGCTTTCTCAAAGCCTTTCACCTATGATTTTCTGCATCTGTCTTTTCATTCCGAGTGGCCCATGTTTTCCTTTTAGCCTTGCTATCACAGGACAGTGGTGGGTAGAACTTTTCAACCCAAAAGGAATGATGATGCATTATGGTATAAAGCTTGGGAGATTAGAGTGCAGTTTAATCATCTCCCCTTGAAATCTGCTCTGCTTTGCTGTGGTCAGATACGTAATCTAAGTTAAATGAAACATTCATATGTTTCATTTCAGTTTCCCCAACAGCCGTGGGAGCAGCTGTCTCTGCTGGGGCAGAGGCTTCTGTGGTGGGTTGACCCTGGCTGGGCGCCATGGTCCCACCAAAGCCGCTCTATCACTCCCCTCCTCAGCTGGACGGGAGAGAAAATATAACGAAAGGCTCGTGGGTTGAGATAAGGACAGGGAGAGATCACTCAGCAATTACCATCACGGGCAAAACAGATTCAATTTGGGGAAATTAATTTAATTTATTACTAATCAAATCAGAGTAGGATAATGAGAAAATAAAAACTAAATCTTAAAAACACCTTCCCCCCAGCCCTCCCTTCTTCCCAGGCTCAACTTCACTCCCGATTTTCTCTACCTCCTCCCCACCAGCGGCGCAGGGGGAATGAGGGTTGTGGTCAGTTCATCACACGTTGTCTCTGCCGCTCCTTCCTCCTCAGGGGGATGATGCCTCACACTCTTCCCCTGCTCCAGCATGGGGTCCCTCCCACGGGAGACAGTTCTCTGCGAACTTCTCCAACGTGAGTCCTTCTCATGGGCTACAGTTCTTCACGAACTGCTCCGGCGTGGATCCGTTCCACGGGGTGCAGTCCTTCAGGAACAGACTGCTCCAGCGTGGGTCCCCCACAGGGTCACAAGTCCTGCCAGCAA